AAAGCACAGTGTGTGTCTGGGCATCTTTGTTGGTCTTGGAGCCATGTCTTCATTCCTCTTTCTGACAGTAGGGCACTCGACTGGAGGTATTCTCTTTTACAACCATAGGGATGATTTTCTGTGACGTTAGTAAGACACACAGGAAAAACCACGTCTTTATACCAACAGCTACTCATTCACAACACTGGCGCTGCCAGAGAGGTGGGGATTGTTGAAGGGGAAGTTTGAGGTCTCCTGAAGCAGGGAGTAAAGGTAGAGATTCTGTGATTCATCCTGGGCGCAAGTCAATGGAAAAGACTGCAAAGGTGTCCCGTGGGCCAGCGGCGCCCGAGGAGACTCTTAAAGGCTGCCAGCAGGTCAGGCTTTGCTTTACTCGGCAGGCTGAGGGCTAAGCCGGTCAGCCTGAGCTCTGTATTTCTGGGGAATTAAACCAGTAGATTATACTGGTCTCTCAGGGGAGTTACGATACAAACCCCTTTGATAGATGTCCGATTACGGGAATTAAACCAGTAGATTATACTGGTCTCTCAGGGGGGTTACGGTACGAACCCCTTTGATAGATGTCCGATTACTTCGAATTACACGACGCTTATGAGTTTCTCAGGAAATTTGGTGTGCCCCTTATTTTGCCAAAGTTAATTGCCCTTGCAGTCCTGGTATTTCAAAGCCTACATCCCGTAGGAATTGGACTGAAATTTCTAGGCCCAGAGCTGTTGTGCCAATTGTGATTTTGATGAGACTGACAGAAAGGTTAGGGAGAAAAAGAAGTAGAAATGTGATAGGTGGCTTTACAGATCTCAGTTTAGATTCGGAAATAGAGATGCCAGCCACAGGCTGTAGCTCGTTCTCAGTTTAAAGGGGATTTAGAGTTATCTCAAAGCCCTTCCCACGCCAAGGGGTTACCATTCTCTGATGATAATGCTAAGACAGAAGTAAAAGCAGAGGAGAAAGGAAGGTCACGTTGACGAGTTGGCCTGGGTTGCTGAGTGGAGCCGCCAAGGGTGGGTTTCAATGGACCAAGTCTTGCCTTCTGAGTACTTCTCTCAGTTCATCAGTCTAGCAGTCCATCCAGGTGTGTCTCTGCATCAGAGTTTCCTACGTTACAGTGTCCGACTCGGCCCACTCTAGTTGGGACTGTTGGGGGTGGCAAAATCGAACTGTAGGAGGCGTCATAATATAATGGTAAGAGTTTGGGCTCTGGAGAGAGACTACCTACCTTTGAAGTCCAGCTTTACCACTTGCCAGAATATTAAGGAAATGATTTACCTTTCTGTGCCGCAGTTTCCTCTTCTGTAAATGGGAATTATAAAGTACCCACCTCATAGAATTTTGTTGACGAGTACATTCGTTTTCTTCTGTTTAGTGTCTTCTCCATGAGGGCAAGGACTTTTCTGTGTTTTATTTACTGTGCATCCCTGGAACCAAGAGACAGCTCAGTGCATAGTAGATGGCTTGATGTTTGTTAGATGAATGCATATGTATGGTGTTTGGAGTAATACTCAGAACACAGGAAACCCTTCATAAATGTTGGTTGATGGCGTAATTTTTCTTGAAAGTGCGTATTCTGTTTGTTTCCTTCATACTTCAATGCCCAGCACGGTGCTAGCACATAGGACAAAGACGCTTGTGGAAGGCGGAATAATGTCCCCGTCCCCGAAAGCTGTCTCCTTCCTAATCCCCGAACCTGTGAATTTTAAAGAACACGGCAAAGGGGAATGACACTTGCGGATTAAGATTCTAATCAGTTGACCTTAAAGCAGGAGGACTGTGTTAGCTTATCTGGTTGGGCCCAATGCGATCCTAAGGATCCTTCAAAGCAGAAGAGGGGGCAGAAGAGACTCGGGGGAAGTGACGTGACAGTGAAGCAGGGTCAGAGGGACACTGCATTGCTGGCCTTGAAGATGGGGAAAGGGGACCACAAGGCAAGCAATGTGGGCAGCAACAGGAAATTACTAGAAGGCTCAACAATTACCTGTTGATTTGGGCCTGAACAGATACCATTTTTGTTCCAATGATCCATTAGACTTTATCCTTCCTTCATAATATAAATGCCATATGATATACTTAATGTAAAGAAATCTAACAATATATAAAACTTTAGGGCTTCCCTGGTGGCGCAGTGGTTGAGAGTCCGCCTGCCGATGCAGGGGACACGGGTTCGTGCCCCGGTCTGGGAAGATCCCACATGCCATGGAGCGGCTGTGCCCGTGAGCCGTGGCTGCTGAGCCTGCGCGTCCGGAGCCTGTTGCTCCGCAACGGGAGAGGCCACAACAGCGAGAGGCCCGCATAGCGCCAAAAAAAAAAACAAAAACAAAAACAAAAAACTTTAATAAGGAAGTCAAGGTCCTTTGGAGCTCTGCTACCCTACAACAACCACTGTGAGCTTCTAGGTGTTTATCCCTTCATGAATCTCTTCTTGTGTGCATGCATACACATGCATGCTCTCATGTGTGCAAATATGCAGACACACATAGACACATACACACAGAAAGTTTTCCTTACATGGGATTATACCACACATGGCAGTTTGTGTTTTTATCATGGACACATGTCCATCCTCCTAACACCAGTACCTCCCATTCCAGCTCAGTCTGCACACCCCAACTGGAAAGCCATGATAACACCCTAATGTGTGTTCTTCAGTACTTTTTTCTGTACTTAGGTGATGTCAGAATGGGATCGTATGACAGAGTCTTTTGCAGTATTCCTCTTCGTACTCAGTGATACCTCAGGAAAATCCTCCAGGTCATTTTTGATGAGTGCTCTGTGATGTGACTATAACTCATTTTATCCCGTCCTTGATGACATTCTCTGTGTTTTTAACTATTGACTACTGCAGACAATACTGCAATTCGTAAAGCTAATACTTCTTGCACAAAAGCAAACCTTCCTAGTTTTAAAGGCTATTTTCGAGGGATGCCCCTTTGGGGAGATAAGAATTCCTGCGAGGAGCCTGTTTTTTCCCCCAGAACTTAGTATCTGGGAGCTGGAGTTAAGGTCCACAAGAATTGTAGGAAGTGGAGGAGACAAGGAAGTTAAGGGTGAATAACCAGCAAATACCTTTCTCTGTAACTTAAATGAAGAAAGCCTCCCACTTAGAATCAATCCTCTCTATCAACTTTCTCTGAAGAACACGGTACTTGTTTACACTGGTTCACCTCTCTTAGGGAAATTCAGCATATAGCAGAAGGTCCACTAGGTAAATGCTATTATATTATTGTTCCCTTTTGTTTGCACCAGTGATGTGCAGAGTGATTCAGCTCCCTGTTGGGTGAAACGGCATGTTAATTAAAAAATGGTCAGAAGGTCAGTACTCTCGAGACATTCATTGATTCCCTCTGTAACCCTGTCTGTTACGTTAGCTCTTCATAGGCAGCGGCAACTCCAAACTGGTTTGGTAAGAGAGCTCTCGTTGATGCTGTTTCTCAAGTACAGTCATTCGGTGATGTATTCTCAGGATCTGCATCAAAGGGACATTCTTCTACAATCTGCACAAACCTGCTTGGCACGTGTTCTTGTTTATGGAAAATCCAAATATATATTTGTGTTCTTTTGAAAAGGGGTGGCAGTCGGAAGGGACTTCTTGCAGGAGATTAAGACTCTAGCGTTCCACAGCAAGCAGAATTCTTAAAGCCCTAACTGGTTTCATGAAATGAGCAGAAGTTGGAACTTCTGTGTAGACTCTGGCTGACATGTAGACCAAAGAAAGGAGTCTGCTCAGCTGAGGGCCAGTAGCAGGTCCCACTGAAGGACACCCTGAGCTGGTCGAAGTCCTTGGGCCATGGTGAAGGGGCCCTTTCCTTCTATCCGCTATTACTGGTCACTGTATATGCACTGTCCCCGTCATTTCTCACAACTCCAAGGGGGAGCTCAGACCAGGAAAACTACACAGACGAAAATAGGCTCAGAGAGCAGTTTGCCTAATGCTCCGCGGCTAAGAAGTGGTAGGACCCGACTAAATACAGGATACAAAGAAACACCTTTTCAAAAGCTTTATTATGGAAAGTGTCGTATGTATAGAAGAGTTGAGAGCATATTACAATTTACTGTCCTGACCCGTCACCTGATTTCAAAAATTATCAGTTCATAGCAGTCTTGTTCTCCTCCACCTCTCCAGCCTCCTGTACAGCTGGGTTATTTTGGAACAATTCCCAGATATCATATTTCTGTATGTATTTCCAAACGGTAGATATTTATTAAAAATATAGTCACAATACTGCTTTATGCCTAAATTAAAGTAATAATTCCTTAATGCCGTCCAATGTCCAGTCAGCATCTGGATTTCCCTAATTGTGGGGTAGGATTTTAACCTGGGTCTGCACTAGAATTTTGAGTTACACTTGTGTGATCAGGTTGGCGAGTGAGGTCGGTCCACTCTGAAACGCTTGCCCCGCAGCATCCTTTGGTCCTAAATTCTTCAGATGCAAATCTGCTACAAGCCGTAATTCCCTGGAATCCTCCACAGGCAAGCAACAGTTATAGTTCCATTAACATGCTTTACAGATGTAAAAAGTAAGAAAGATGAGAAAAAGGTATCGTTTGCTTCAAATTATGGATATCTGGGGGAGGAGAGGGAAGTGACACAGGAAAACAGAGGAGGGTGGGGAATCTTTCCCCAGCAGAAACAAGGTAGGCATCTTTATTCCAAGCCAGGAAATAATATTATTCATGAGCTTTTGGCTCTTGTCAACATGAAATGATTGTGTAAAGGCACCTAGTTGATTAACCTGATTTTATTGCCATTTCTAATAAAGGATTTCAGCTAAAGGATTAGATCAGTAGCCTTTGATTTCTAAACTTAGGTAGAAGTCCAATTTTGCTCTTTGGTTCTCTTTCCGTGCATTCCTGGAATTCATGAGTTTTGCCCTGAACTTTCTGGGAGCAAGGGCCAAGGTCCGGACACAACTTTCCAATTAGTGCAAATCACGGTCTCTGGTTCTCCTCGATGTTAGCATGTGACAGGGCTGGAGGCCTCTAGTTTGCTCAGAGCAGTGACCAAGCAAATGAATGCATGCTCTTGAATATCTGACGAATGTGACAAGCCTGTGCGGGCTGGAGCTGTGGCTGGCTGAGCTCAGCTTTTTAATGAACCCAGGCGCTTTCTTGACCAGCCGTGTGTGTTTTGCCCTATTAGACTGGCGTGGATCAGGTCAGGAATGCAATTGTGCTTTTAGCTCTCAGTCAGGGAAACATAGTCATGAACAGCACCGGCTCTATAATTTGCAGGATCAAGTGCAAATAAAACTGTGGGGCTCCTTGTTGAGAACTAATTCAGAATTTCAAGTTGGTAATAACAACAGAGGCTTTTTAAGTTAGGGGGCCCCGGTGTGACTGCAGGGGGAGCCCTCAGTGAAGCTGACCTTGGGCACAGAGCGCAGAGCCAGAAGCTGACAGGTTAAACTTCGTGATGCTTCCAAGAGGATCCAGTAAGAGGGAGCTGGGACCTTAACTCAGCTTGGTGGAGAAATTGTCGGAGAGCAGGGAATGCCCACGGGCCATCACTGGATAAGGTGAGAGCCGTTATTATTTTGGGAAAGTTGGTGTGCTTGTTCGCTAATCTATGTCGGTTAGCGAGAGAAAGGTCAGAGGTGAACTGTTGATAAATGAATGCCCTGGTAAACGGTGAGTACAAATGCAAGGGCCAAGCAAACGGCCAGAGGAAAAGGACCCGTCTAAAAGGAACGAGAAAGTTCATTCTTTCCATCCACTTCTCTCTCCCACCTCCAGCCCCTTAACAAGTTTTCCATAAAGAGAAAAATGTTCACAGGCAAACAACAAAAGACCCAAAGCAGATTTTTCACAGTCTGTGAGCTGATCTTCAACTTTGCAGGGGCTTGTACTTCATAGAAAAGAAAACATGTAGGAACTTCCTCCGTGCTTTTGCATTTGGAAAGGGAGGCTCCTCTCTTCTAGTGCTGAGTGACATCTTAGAGCTTATTTCTTTCCAGTAAAAGTGGAAAATATCAACTAAGGTTTCAAAGGAAAGGAAATGTAATGTATTTTCTCATCAAATTTGGCATTATCTCTCTAGCAGGCGGGCCTTTCATCTTCGATGCAGTGTTTTTCCATTGTGTGATTCGGAGTTTGCCTCCACTCTGTCCCACTCTTTTAACTCCAGCTTTCTAAAACACGAAAGTGATTTGCAGAACTTATCTTCTTTTCTCATTTGTTTCCTCGATACTTTTGATTATCACTTGCCAGGGTTTCTGTAGAGAAGCTCACAATTTTGCTTCTCCAAATATTGAACGTAACACAGATAACGTTCCTTTGTTAGTGTGAATTCGTTAATGACCTTGATAAAGAGAACATTTTCCTTTCCGCCTCCAGCATCCTGGGAGGACTAAAATGATTCGGGGGCTGTTGATATGAACATATAAATGAGAAAGTGCAATAATAGGCCTTGAAAAAAATCCCATTAATTTTTTAAATAAGAAGGAAAGCCAGGCAGTTCTGCTCCAGCACTTGAGAACTATGGTGAAGTACCTTCGCCAGCCTTCTTCCCCCTAAGCCTTGGAAAATAGAGATGTGAGATTGATCTCTAGGAGTCGAACTTTTAAATCAGTCTGTTATTACGTAGATCACAGCACAGTTGGGTAAAGACAAGTGAGGGGGAAGGCAAGACTCTTCAGCTTAGAAGACTGAATTCCATGTGGCCTGATGAAATGTATTAAAGAGCATACGTCAAACAGACACGTGAGCAACGCAAACAAAAAATTCACAGAGTCAAATGTTGGCAGTGTTCTTTCAGATGCTGTCTGGGTGGGGACGAAACTTTAGTAGATGGACTTACAACACTCTTGACTCACTGGCAAGTCCATCCCCGTTGTTGAGGTGGCTGTGTTGTGTTTTCTTAGGCTGAGTGCATGGAACATTCAGACTGCTTGTTAACTATCCTTAGTAACAGTATACGCTCGCCAGTCGGCCTGATGAATACTCTTGGCTAACTTTGTTAAACCTTGAACAGGGATAGTTCACACTATTCATTCACAAGTAGGTAATTCAGTTTCTGAGACCGCTTCCTTCCTTTTTCCGTGTAAATTAATAAACCACAGTTCTGATCTTACACGTAAGATGGGTGGCTAGATGAGCTGCGTCAGCCTCAAGAGAAAGACCTGTGCCAGGGAGGCTGGCTTTAGGCCCTGGCACAATCACAGATGACGTGCCCCTCTCTGAGTGTCGTCTTGCTGGATATCAGGGCTCTGAGCATCCTGGGAGCAGCTTGGATGTTTAGTTTGTCCTCTTTCACATCTTAGTCCTTCTGTCTATATATATATTTATCTTTCCTGATCCCTAATTTAGATCATGTCATACAACACACTCCGAAGGCTCAAACTGGTAGAGTGACACAATTAGGCCCCAGCTTTCCTTGTTGGATGCAATTAGCTCACGGTTCATATAAAGCTGTCTAGAAAGCACCATGTACTCATCATGACTTTCAAGCTCATTCTTTTAATACATTTTACCTTTTTTCGCCATGTGCTTGACACTGCCTTTGCTTGTTTCTGATGGGCATCTCCTAGTGGGTCACATTCTCAAATCTGCTCTTGCTTTGCAAGCTAGGTTTTGATGCCTGTCTTCTGAAGCTGATCTCAGCTCCTTGTGTACATTTTCAGCCTTTTCTGCGTCTGTTTCAGCAGTGAGTCCTTCTCATGACCAGATGCACCAAGTCTAAGACTCCTGTCCACGGTCCAGCTCTCCCACCCTCCCTATTGCTCTAGTCTCTCCAAACTTAAAAAAAAAAATGCCTTTCAAAGCTGGATGAATCATCTCAGCCCCTTATACGGTGGAGTCCAACCAAAGAACAGCAAGAAGAGTTTTGAAAAACCAATGAAGTGGGGAAGTCTAAGCAGAATCCTGGCACAACGACCCACTAATCCCAGACAAGGTGATTTGCAGTTGCAGGTAGCTGTTGGGCAGAAGTGGGCAAGGTCCTGAGAGTCTGCAGAGGGCAGAGATTTCTGGAAGAAGTGGCAGGAAGGCGAAGGGGTCATGGCTCCGAGGGCACTGTTATGTGATGATCCTGCGCTTCAGCAGCCCCGCGAAAGCCCTGGGGTTCCCAGTGGAAAATCGCTGCACACCAGTTGGGAGTGACCTGCGTCTGGAGCGGGCTGTGGATAAGCCACCTGGGGATGGAGCGTGAAGATGCTCCAGTCAGGAAGCCTCACCCACACACCTGTTTGCCGTCCTCAGCATGTGGTGTCCACGTGGTAACAGTACTCCCTGCTCTGGAAAGTATAGGTCGATTTGCAGCATATTTTCTTGGTGTCAGATGAGGCGGAGCTTGGGAGTTAATTTCAAGGCCTGGGAATTCTCCAGGGTCACATGGGTAACAGTGTCTTTCTAAGGAAATTTCATATTTTCTGAAACTGGAAAATGGACCCCTGAAAGTGTAGGGCTTTGATTTTCCAAAAAAAAAAACCAAAAATCAAAAAAAAATCCTTTTATAATTTTTCATCCACATTCTGTACTCTACCACCCCAACTCTGCTCCTCATGATTAATTTTACTTTGGCTTTAGTGGAATGTAATTTTGCTGTGATTAGCTTTCTGTCAATCAGAATCCCATGGCGATAATAACGTCTATGTATTTTGTTAAAGAACGAAGCTATTTTTGTAAATGACACGTATTTAAAGAAAAAGAATGTCACCTATAAGAAGGTAAAGCACGTTGACTAATGTTTCTTTAAGTGAAGCTAATGGTGTGGAATATTTTATGGCATTTCCGTGGAAAATGTTACAGGACATCCCTAGAGGATTTCAGGGGAACTTTTATAGCTATTTCCTGCTCCATCAGCATGTTATAGAACCCTGTGGAAAGCAGGGGTGCTGGCTGCTGCATTTGGTAAGTCACGGCCATCAGTTTCTGTTGGACAGTGGAGGGGCTTACCGCACAAGCACGTTTGTGCGGACCGGATTGGGCGGATATCAGGAACTACGGTGACTGCGGGTAACCCTGGGGTTCAAGCGTATCCTTCTCATTTATAGTAGAGACCGGCTACTTTAACGCTTTTGATTTGTTGAGAGGTGTTTTTTTTAAAATTTTTATTGGAGTATAGTTGATTTACAATGTTGTGTTAGTTTCAGGTATACAGTGAAGTGAATCAATTATACATAGAAACATATCCAGTCTTTTATTTTTTAGATTCTTTTCCCATATAGACCATTGCAGAGTACTGAGTAGAGTTCCCTGTGCTATACAGCAGGTTCTCATTAGTTATCTATGTTATACATAGTAGTGTATATATATCAATCCCAATCTCCCAATTTATCCCTCCCCCCGCCCTTATCCCCTGGTAACCATGTTTGTTTTCTACATCTGTGACTCTATTTCTGTTTTGTAAATAAGTCCATTTATACCATTTTTTTAGATTCCACAGATAAGCGATATCATATAGTTGTCTTTCTGTGTCTGACTTACTTTGCTCAGAGAGATTTTTAAATGTCATTAAATACAGAAAAACTTAGAACCTACTTTTTTTTTTTTTTGGAACTCTACTCAGTGCTCTGTGGTGACCTGAATGAGAAGGAAATCCAAAAAAGAGGGGATATATGTATACATATAGCTGATTCGCTTTGCTGTACAGTAGAAACTAACACAATACTGTAAAGCAACTATACCCGAATAAAAATTTTTTTTAAAAAGTACCTACTGTTTTGAAGACATTACTGTGTGTAAGAAATCCAAACAAGAGTAAGTGCAAAGCGCATGCTCCAGAAACCAATCAGTCATGTAGGGTGGCAGCTTTGTTTACGTTCGTCTACAGTATTGTACATTTAAGACGAAAGGCACACCGAGAAGCTACTCTGCTTGATCCCACTGCTGTTTCTCTGTGCGACAGATTTTAACAGGTAGCTAGAAGGGCTCTCACATTATCCTCTCCTGAAGATTTAAAACAGCACTTTAAAATATTCCACTGATTGCACATGGTGATGTCATAATTAGGTAATTCTTTTATTCATCCCATTCATATGTGCTGTGAACTCTTTAAACCAAATCTGTAATGGAGAATAATTGGCCGTATCAAGGGTGGGCATCTGACATGAAATTAACACTTGAATTGGCAGAGCATCTGCACACTGTAGTCAGGATGTACAACCTGGATGGAGACCCTTAGGTGACCGTAGTCCCAGGGTGTTGGTTTAATCTCTGGCATTAACTAGACTGTGGTCTCAGCAAAACTCATATTCTTCTGATTCTTGTACTGTCTGCATACTTCACCCCTCTATCTTCTCTTGAAGGGACATCATAATTGGCGGTATCAGTAATACCACTTTTCACTAACTTAGAAAGTGTCATTTTCTATACACTTTCCTACCTAGGCTTTACGCTGAGAATAAATAGGACAGAAATCATTATCCCAGTTGTTGCAGAAAAGAAGGAGCATTGGAGGTACTTGTTTTACTTCTCAGACCTGTTTGTCGAAAGGATGCGTAACAGAACCCAGGGATCCAGATTCCTGAGTCTCAGATATTGTCCATTGACTGGAACATACTGATTCTCTGGAGACATT